GGTGTGAGTCGGTCTATGTGAGTCAGTTCGTTATCAGACTTCCGCTGCATAAATGCTCATCCTATATTGGTTGATCTTTGGTTCTGCCCATACTCATTGAAGTATGTAACAGTAGAGCAGTTTAGCGAGAGCCAATAACCTCCTCTTGCAAACACAAGAAAAGAATTGCGGTCCCTGCATAGAAATTTACCTGTCCCTGCTGGTGCTCTTAAACCACCAGTGCATGGAAGATTGAAAAATGATACTCCTCTGAGTGCAGTGCGATTTGAGGGTGGCTGCAATGGCTTTTGGTCTCTACTGGCTGTGGGTGGTTGGTGCCAGAATGATAGAATTTGAGGGTAGCGACTTGTGAGAAGAAATCTGAGAAAGATCAGGCACCGTAAGCTTGGTGCTAATCTTTGTGGGAAAAAATATTCAAGAAATGAAAAACAGATTCTAAGATGGCAAAACAATGGTGACAAACTTGTGCATGTTTCACTCTTTTGTCACAAATTTTCTCCCCGCTGGTGCTAGCAGGCCCAAATCTTTTCCTCTTCCTGACCATAACGGGCATCCGGATTTCGGATTGGGGGGAGACAGGTGGTGCAGGGGAGACGAATGAACCGAGAAATACTGATGTCAGTGACAGAAGAGAACAGCCCTATCTCATAGAGTGAATGTTGGGAACCAGGGGCTACACTTTGTGTCAAGAAGATGTCACGACTGAGGACTGTGGTTTGTCTACGAGTTGTGATACTTTATGGGGCATCATGTTTGTAGTGAAGGTGGGCGCTGTTCTCGTTATTGTGGCTACAGTTGTGGCACAGCACCCATTTGGAGCCGTCCAGGACTGCGAATGTGGGTATCTATAAACTTAACAATAGAGCACAGATCGTCTTGTTGCTCTGATGTTCATCTGTGACTAGCAAGGACAATTTCTTATGCTCCCTCATCCTTCACGATGCTATGCATTAGACAGACAGGATAGGTCTTGTACCGCTCTAAGGCTGATTGTGAACTCCCATGTTTGGTACCACCTTATTTATATCTCATGGCATGCACGGTTTTCTTCGCTGAGCCAACTCCTGTAGACTCTGCATTAATTGTTTCGGACAGTTTCATCTGCTTGTGGTCTGTCTTGGTGAGGACCTTTGTGCTTGCCCAAGCTGCCTTCTTCTCCACGTCTGTTGTCGATATTCTTGGACCGTCTTTCTCTCTATTTGTTTGAGGTTTTCTTCGCTTCTCTATTTCAAAATTTCTGGGTTTATGACCACTAGAGTTGTCCGTGCAGTAGTGTCTCCTGCAGCGTGGCATGCTGCTAACAATTGCTAGAAGATGGGGTTGATGGAGTTGCCTGAAGAGTGTGGATTCCAGCATGTTGGAAGTGTAGTTAAAAGGAAAGTACTCGTGTGTGTGCACTAATGCAAACTCTCACGCATTTGGGTGCGGAGGCGGGGATCGCGACCTGAAGGAAATCGAAGGAGAAGTTTAGGGTATGAACATGCATCGTATATCCTTCCTCAGCCATAACGGAGGGAGGCGTGGAGCAGGTTCTTGTTGTAGGGACACTGAACCCGGTTTTCGGTTTTTTAATAAGGGTTCCTCTCTTTTCTTTTTAATTATTTTCTGAAGGGATGGAGAAGGGGCTGGATCCTCTGTTCCACATTTCCTGATGGTTGATTTTGCCCACCCCCGACCTATCGACCATTTTGTAGGTTGGGCCTACCAGTGTAGGCTGTGTGCATCACATTTGCAACAGAACGTTCTTAACAGGCAAGATAACGTTTTTAATTTTCTACTAGCTTTCCCTAATGCAGGGGCATGTACCATACATCTAAGATTATTTCATACTAGCTTACCTGTTGCGGCTCCGCCCGCATAAATTGGTGAAAATTGCGCAAATAAAAGAAAATAGCATGAGGGGTGTGGTGGCCTGAGTGCAGTTGCAATTGTCCTGTTCTGTCCGAAAAACTTTTACAAGTGACAGACCAGCGAGCGCCACAATATGACCATTTGACTGATTAGCACGTACTGTGGGGTGTTTGTCTATTGTTGGGCAGTGCGGAGTCATGTGTTTGTAGTTAACTTTGTACGTTTGGAAAATTTATTGGCTTCTTTAGCGAAGCTGCATGTTTTATATTGTCTCTCATGAAAGGAGAAATTATTTGGGTCTTTTTGCTTGAATTCCTGATCGTGCACCGTTTGTGTGTTGCAGATGGCTCTTCGAATCAAGCCTAACTTCTCGCAGTCGCTGAATAATCTTGGGGTTGTTTACACTGTTCAGGTAATTGTTTTCATAGGCCTCCTCATATTCCAGCAGTGTTTCAAGAGGGCGTCCTTATTATAAATTGTTTTGGAACTGAAGCACGTCTAGAATTAGGGACTCGAGAAAAATGATTTTGTCCTCGACTTACCTTAGGGGTCATCAATAGATGAATTTATTCACTGCATTTTGAACAGGGCTTCGAAACGAGGAAGCATGGATTTACCGTGTTGATGTTGTACATAGCGAATAACAAATGGGTGGAAGGCGTCTGTGTGGATTGGTAAGATTTCAGTTGTGGCTTTTGTTTACTTTTGGTTCCCAGAAAAAAAAACATGAAAATGTTGGCTAAACTTGGGCTTTTTGAGCAACCAACGGGAGATTACCATTTTTAAAGCACCAGTACATGGCCCTTTAAAGCACCCCAGCCAAGTTGAGAGTCCGATTGAGCCTCTCCTTAAATTTTGGAGGCTCGCGTGGTGTCCATATAGTAAATCGATGGCGGGCGGTCTTCGAAAGGGGCCGGCGGCTGATGGATGGCATGAGGGGCCGGCGGCTGATGGCTGGCATGTGCTGGTGGTTTAAGCATGTCGTTCCGGGAACTTGAGGTGCTAGAATTGTATTGGTCAAACTGTGATGGCTGGAACCAGAAGTGTCAGTAACAGTTCCTGTGGGGAACATACAGCGGTCGTTCACAGGTAGCACTTGTCAACTGGGTAATCCTTGAATAACAGGGCAATTCATGAAAGTAATAAAGTATCCCTTCTGGCAATTTGTGTTGGTCTTGTAGCCATTTCGCAACAAGAGTGGCATAAAAGCAATTGAGAATCTAACCGGAGAAGGGATCACAAACGAAGCATTTACAGATCTGCCTCTTAGCATTTTGAACCTGTCATCACACAATGACACTGCCTGATCAAGAATTGGATTAATATATAGGCTGCTTGGCATGGAGGGGTTGGCCGAACCGAACCAGGAGGGCGGGAAAGTGCCGGGCTTTTTTTTTTCCGATTGCGAGGTGCGACTGTGGCCGTGAAGAACATGCAAAATCCTGCCCTTTTTTTTGAGACTGGAAGTCAGGATGTGTGGGTGAGGGACTCGGTTGGGGATGAAGACTGGGCGGAGAGAAGAGAAATCGCAGGGGGGAGGATGGGAGAAGAGGAAGGGAATGGTGGAGGGAAAGCTGCACCGCCGGGTGTACTACAGGGGCACATACCAGATTGTTGCACGAAGGTAACAAATCTGTGATATGGCCCATCGTGTCCTACGGTCCAGTGGCACGTATAGTGGGGTGATCTTACAATATCAAGATTGGGCTGTCACCCCAGCACTACCTCCCAGACTAGAAGCAGAATCTGCCTTGAAACTAAACTGTTCATGCCTGGTTATTTCTGCTGCCAAATATCGATGCCCCTGGCCGGACGCCCAAGAAAAACTGCTGCGTGCGTGCACATACCAACAACCACACATGCACACGCAAACTGTTTCATTTTTTGATTGGTTCATCATCAGTGTGCTTCATTGTCTGCAAGTAGAGGTAAAGCTGCTTTGATTTGGATCTACTAATCTTGGTGGAGCAGGGGTGATGTGGTGATAATTTACAACACACATCGTGGGGCGTTCAAGTTCCCCCTTGTCTTGGTGTGTGTGTGTGTGTGTGTGTGTGTCTGAGAGAGAGAGAGAGAGAGAGAGAGAGAGAGAGAGAGAGAGGATTGCATATCATATCATACTTGTGCAGTAACCGTGCTAATTTTCTCTGTATTGTTCCAATTTTAATGCAAGTCTGCAAGGGCAATGAAGAAGACAACCTACACGGCCTCTCTGCATTTTTTTTGTTTTCTCCTATAAGTGTTTGCCTTCGTGCATCCCGGGAGAGTAAGGAATTTAGGGCTCGTGCTTCGCCAAAAGTTGTCTGTACAATTGTTTCAGAGAATGTGTTTCTTCCTGGGGTTTTGTATTTTTGAGTTCTTTTTTGGCTGGGACTTCCTGTCACGTTGCTGAAGCCTTGCCAGGGGGTTCACCTGTGTTGGCTGGATTCGTAAGCCCCTGCATCACGGGCTGCCCGGATCATGAGGATGTAGCAAATAGGCAATTGGAGAGGACATCGGCAGAGTGAGTGGAAGAGTTCCTCTCTAGTGATTGGCAACATGGTAACTGGTCCATATTGGACTTTGGTTCTCTGCTTGTACTGGTAGTATGTGAGTAATCAATGTAAATACAGAGAAGACATTGCGCCACGCCTTCCTTGATGAAGTCATCAATCATGTCGTACTGGCGCATCTGGGCTGCCCCTTCCTAAATGGGGTCATAGAAGCAAGCAGATGTGTTATACATTTTTCACTACGTAACAGAGTCAGCTTAGACGTGTTAGACTTGAAAAGTGCCTTTTTATGTACAATTAGACTGAGGTATGAGGTTTTCTGTGAGCATATAGATCTGACCTGAGCAACATTGTGTAGTGTAGCTTTAAACCACAAGTACACGGCCCCAGCATTGCAGTCCGAAACTTGTCGCCACAAAGAAATGAGGCCGAAAAGTCAAACGCTGGGCCCGCCGTTCATAAATTTGATCGGCCATCGCGTTTGCGTTCTGTGCCTCTAGGATTCGAGGTGTCAGGCCCGCGGCCCAGTTGCCCATGTACTGGTGTTTTAAACCACCACTACAGCGGCCCCTGCACTGTTCATTTTTCTTGTCCACAAGTACCGGGCCAAAATCTACAGTGGCCTGGTAGAAGTGCGGTGGGGAAGGGTAGCTCAATTATTTTTCGTCACGGCGGCACTGTAGATTCTAGGCTTAGGAAAATGCAACTTTTGATTTGTCAAAGTAGGTACGGATGGAGTGGTGGTTCAATTCAACCACCGAGAATGAATTGTCGTAACACATGGAAATGCGACCGGCATGTGAGTCTCCTTGACCACCGCTTCGGAGGACAGCGCAATTATTCTTCTGTTCATAGTTACCTGCAAAATCTCAGGTTATTCACAAACAGAGCTGGAGACTGTTGTGGTCCCTCAGAATACATTCATCCCATCATTGCAAGAGTAACCAAATGTTAGCACTGGCTTTTCCACTGGATGCAACTAATTGCCTGGATTCTTTAGGTACGGATCAAGTGGTGGTTCAATTCAAGCACGAAGAATGAATCGTGGGAACACATGGAAATGCTACCCGAAATGTGAGTCTCCTATCAGCTTGACCACCGCTTCGGAGGACGGTGCAATTTTTTCTGTGTCCATAGTTACCTGCAAACTCTCAGGTTATTCACAAACAGAGCTGGAGAGTGTTGCGGTCCCTCAGAATACATGCATCCCGTCACTGCAAGAGTAACCAAGTGTTCCATGAGATAGCACTGGCTTTTCCACTGCATGCACAACTAATTACCTGGATTGTTTATGATACGCTTAGCTGGCTCCAAGGGTAGCGGGTCGTCAAATTTCGGATTGCCATCAGCCAGTACACCATCGCTCACTTTCCCTGACAGTGACCATACAGTTCGTAAGACGGCATTTCAAGTTTTCTACCTTAGTTAAGAATGTCATCATGGTAATTTTAATGCCTCAGAATTCATGCCCGGTAAGAATAGTATCCGTTGCGAAAAGAGAGAGCGACCTTCAGAAGTTGCTGATGTAATCACTGGCACTGTGACAAAGAGATTCTGGTTCAGCAAATGGTTTTTAGTGATGTTAACTCCTTATGCAGTCCAGGTGTTCAAACATCTTGATTGCCTTGTGTGCATTTTCTGGAGTGTTCCCTTTCGTATATCAATTCTTGGCATTGGCTATGTGGCTGGCCTTCTTCGTTCCTCTGGGATGGTTTGTTTTTGTGGATCGAACTTTGAGACGCCTGCTAATTATGTCTCTTTGCCTTTGATTGACAGCTCTTTGTCCATGCTCTGGCGTTGTGCGTAACAGGGGAAGATGGATCTTGCGCTTGGAATGATCCGATCGGCCATTCTCGCAAACCCAGCCTATGCAGAAGCATACAACAATTTGGGTAAGTTCAAAACACTCTGCACGGTTCTGCTGGTCCGTATTTGACACCCTCAGCGTGCTTGACCTGTCTTCGCAATCCAAATAAATGGTGCATTTTGTTTATGTGGGCGCTTGTATTGGTACGCGCATACCTGAGGATTACACATGATCAGCCAGGTCTGGCGTGGTTAAACTGCCACAATTTCCAAGCCTCTTTTTCCTGTTATGGATTTCCACTGCGTGCCAGAAAACGAACCACCATGGTCGCGTTTTTGTGTCAGTTTTGCCTGGCGCTGCTAGCTATTTCAATCTGTTAGTACGCTGTATCCGAAAATCCCGTGGTGGACAACTTCGTTGGAAAATTTTGCCTGGGAGAGGTAGTAGTGTGCAATGACACCACAGTGCACGGAACACTTAAGCCCAAGTCTTGGGGGGTCTCCTGACAAAGATTTGACTGGAGTCACATCAAGAATGATAAGTAGTGTTGCGTGTCGTCCAGTAATCGAGCACTGATTGCTTTGAATTGATTAGACTGTGTAACGCTTGGTATTTTTCTTCGATATTATATTTGCAGGGGTTCTGCACAGAGATGCAGGAAACATTCCTGGAGCAATTGAAGCTTATGAACAGTGTCTTTCGTTGGATCTTGATTCTCGCAATGCTGGTCAGGTATATGGAATGCCCTATAGCCCATTTCCTTCCCGAATGGTCTAAGCAGCAGTTCATATCTTATTTGCAGGGGTTCTGCATAGAGATGGGGGAAACATTCCTGGAGCAATTGAAGCTTATGAACAGTGCCTTTCTTTGGATCCTGATTCGCGCAATGCTGGTCAGGTATATGGAATGCCCTGCCCATTTCGTTCCCAAATGGTCTAAAGCAGCAATTCTTGTAATTTATATTCGATTGCGGCTTTATATGAGAATGCATATATTGGCATGATGCCTTGCCTGTATTTACCTTGCCCCGGTTTCCTTTTTATGTAAGTTTCTTTTGCTCTGCTTGTGAATGTCGGCAGATGATGAAATGTGGTCCTCTCTCTCTTTCCCTGTCTGTACCTGTGTGAGCTTGTGTGCATCCAAGTATGCATGCGGTTTTCCCTATTCTTCTACCCGTAGTATTAGCACACAGTTAGCACACAGTCAAGGAGTGACAATTACAGAAACAGAAACATCTTTTACGGATTACCTGTGGTTGCCGAGGTGGAAAAGCACAGCGCGCCAACCTTTGCCAAAGCACCAGCGCGGCATTTTGTTTTTCCCTTTTGGTGGGCATCACCAGCCACTGTGGTCCGATAGCATTGTTCATCCAAAGAACCTGGAATGTTACATCTTCAATTCTCGACGTTGCCTGACAAAGGTAGTGGTGGTCTAGGGTCAGTTCTTTTCGTTTGGATTCTTTGGACCTTTAACTGCAAAACGTATCCGAAGGTGGTGTGGCGCAAGTCTGTGCTGGGTGCATTCTATTGGGACAGGGTGATGTGATAGTTGCAAAATTGCAAACTAAGTCTAAGGGTGTCTCAAATCTTACTCCAAGGGAGAATTCAGAAATGTCCTTCAGTGTTTCAATTAGGGAGCCATGGTCCTGAGTTGATCTGTAGGGTTGATGGACACATTGAGGCATGAGCACAATGATGTTCTTGTAGCAGGGCCAAACTGTTGGATTCCAATTAAGCGGGGCTTATTAGAGAATCCTCTTCCTATCCAATGTGTATATAGCTTGGCTAGCCTACTTCTTTCTCTGGTGACGATCGAGGCAGGATAGTGGAATTTCCCAGTTTCAAAATCGGATATTATATAATGAAAGCTTTAGACGCAAGATATACTCCGTGAGGTGGTTACATGGATGTAGGTGATACATTCAGGACCTCTCTCTTTCCATGTCCCTTGGGATGCTAACTGCCAAACCTCAAATTGACGGCCCAGTGGCCTCTCCATCAGTCCCTAAGTGTGGTCAGTACTCATAACGTTTGGTTAGCGAAGCTTACACTTCTTCAATAGTTCGGACGGGCAATCACCAATCTTCCCACAGAGTCTACAGGGGCATTCTTGAACCCTGCTTCTGTTTATCAGAACGAAAATTTATGGGAATGCTAGTCTTCTTTCTGGATAAGTCTAGCATAATCACAAGTTCGTATCTCACTTGTATACTGGAATTGGCGGTGTTGACGTCTGTTCTTTCAGAACCTTCAAAATGCTGCATGCATCCTTTGTTGCATGGGAGAAATGTGAAGATCAAATGTAAACGTTTGATGAAATGGTCCGAAGTATCAACGGTGTTGAACGGTGTTCCCCCCAATAGAACATACAGTTGCTACAGACACTTAGTGCCAGTTTTAGTCTCGCTTTGGTGTTTAATGACTTTACGTAACATTCAAGGGAAGACTGTAGCACCTACATACCATTTGTGGGATTGTTATCGATGTGAGCTATTTACATAGGCATTGGGACAGAGATGCCTCAGGAGTCTTCTAAGGATTCTCCAGATATGTGTTTGTTCTTTTGCACGGTGGAATGCCCCAGTATGATAGCAGTCATGAGGGGAGGACAGGGGTGTCTGAACCTGCTGATGTCCAAAGTCTGACTTTCCTGCTTTCCTGTCTTGGAAAACTATGGGCCAGAAATGCAGCGGTACTTTGGAAGAAATGGCTGTGGATTTGTGTGTCCCCTCTTTTTCTCTTGACTAGGAGAAAGGTGTTTTCTATTTACAGGATGAACACAAAATTATGTCTTCTATGTGATGAAGCCATGGTGTGGGTCTATAGACCCCCCCCCCCCCCCCCCCCCCCCCCTCCTCTTTCTCCTCGTATCATTCAATCTGTGCGATTCACTTCTCGTCAATGCTGTTGGGTGAAGAACAAATTTCCATATAGAAATGCAAATCACATGAATGGCTCTGGAGAGTTCACAGCTACATCGACAAGGTGGGCTTTTTGACCCTTTTGCCCTTTTTTGAAAGACAATTCCAGATTTGATGTAGGAGGGTGAACGATAGATTCCAGCATTGGGTTTGGCAGAATGCCTGGAAATACATGACTATAGGTTCCTATCAGATTTGTTCATAGCCATTTGGTTGCTCCAAATCTTCAAAATGACCTGTTCTCAAGGTTGTCCACAAATCTGGGGATTATACATTTCCCTAGATTCCACCAGGGGATTATACATGTCCCTAGACTTCGTTTGTGGCCTTTCTTCTCGATGCCCTTACCCTCAGGTAGACTCTGGTGCCTATTGTTGACTCTATTATTGTGTATGGACTTTGTCGTGACTTCATTCCCTGTCGTGGACTCTACTGTCTGAAGATTCTCGAGGGTCGCTGGCTTTATTGTCTCCATCATTTCTTTCCGGATTCGGTTTTCTTTTGCGTGCTCTATTCTTTGGACTTTTGACCGGACTTCAGTGTGTCTTTGAAAAGTGCGTCTTGTAGTCTCTTGCGCAATCCATACTGTGGTAACAAGGGGGGAACTCTATTCTGTGAACTCAGATGTGTCTTGTGGTCTCTTGCAGAACCGATTGCTAGCAATGAACTACATCCACGAAGGACTGGATGATGCCCTCTACAATGCACACAGGTAGGAAGTTCGGATCGCGTTGTATTTTCCAATCAACATCAACCAATTGGTCTGAAATTGCGATGCTCTTGACATTCATAGTCAGGAATGCATGGCAAATTGTTGCTCTGCTTGTGATGTGTGGCCTTTATGCATGCGTACGAGGGGGAGAAATACTTCAGTGTGTACGCAGTGGGGGTGGTTGGGGGCAAGTGATGTGTGCTGTGTCTTTGCCGATAAAAAAGTAGATTGTAAATTGTTGCATGTAGTTAGGGCTTAGTGGTGCAAGGATGTAATTTATTGAGAAAGTGATGGGATGTAAGCTTGAATCGTAATGTTCTATGGGTTGTCGACTTGCCATTGATTTTTCCTGCTTGACATGAAGAAAGAGGTTGGTGTGGTGTGCATTTTTTTGTACGCAGAGAATGGGGAAAGAAATTCACGTGTCTGTTTCTGCTGCTGTCTTTGCCAAAGAAAAGCAGATCACAAATCGTTGCTTGTGGTTAGGGCTTAGTGGTGCAAGGATGTAATTTATGGAGAAAGAGACAGGATGTAGTTGCAAAGTTTTATGGTGCTGGCATTGTTTTTCCTTTGTAACATGAAGAAAGGGGTTGGTGTGTTGTGTGTTTTTTTCTGTTTGCAGAGAATGGGGAAAGCGATTCAGGCGATTGTACCCAGAATACAAGACATGGGATAATGAGAAGAATCGGGATAGGCCATTGACAATTGGATATGTCTCACCAGACTACTTCACGCATTCTGTGTCGTATTTCATTGAAGCACCACTCACGTTCCATGACTACTCCAAGTTTCGAGTTATTGTATATTCAGCAGTGGTGAAGGTATTGTACGTCATCTCATTCTCCTTCAGTGTCGAAGTTGTGGTTGTGTGCTATTGGAGTGGGGGGGGGTTGGGGGGGGTGCGCGGGGGATTGGAGGCAATAAGGAAATTCTGAGTGTGCTGATTTTGGAGGCTTTTCCCAATTCAGAATTTCGGGCCACAGATTCCCGAGAAATCATTCGCGTAGATTTGTCGGGGATCTTTCCAGGAGAAGTGAGGGAAAATAGACTGTGCTGATTTTGGCGATTTGTATGGACAGGATTCTGTGCCAAGAATTCCGTAAAATCAGGGGGGTGGATTTGGTGCTGACCTTTCAAATGGAAATCCACCAGAAACAGCCGGGAGCACAAAACTCTTAGTCCAACAAGTGGACCCGCCGCAGCGACGCTGCGGCAGTGGAAGATGGGCGAGTGAAGAAGAGAGGGGAGAAGGTAAGGGAGGGCTAGTCCACCGAGGCCCCGGTAGGTAGCGTGTCTCTCTCTCTCTCTCTCTCTCTCTCTCTCTCTGTGGATCAGTTCGGGGACTATGCGAGCAGGATTCTCTCTCGCTCTCTCTCTCTTTCCCTCTCTCTCTTTCTCTCTCTCTCTTTCTCTCTCTCTCTCTCTCTGTGTTAAGGGACGTAGAAAAGTCGGGGAAAAAAAAAAGAAGCAGAGCAAAAAGATCCCATGCGAACAGCAACGACGTCGCATCTCTCTCTCTCTCTCTCTCTCTCTCTCTCTCTCTCTCTCTCTCTCTCTTTTCCGAAGTTCCGACACCGTACACGTGCCGAAAAACGTAGTCCATCGAGGCCCGGGTAGCTAGCGTGGCTCTCTCTCTCTGTTACATGCTGAAAGCCTACACACGGGCCCCTCACGGGACCCGAGGTTGGAATAGGGGCCCTAGGTCGCGTCACCGCAACCTGAAGGCCCTATGGCATTTTTACTTGGGCCTGCATCAGAAAAACGCCAGCTTTAGATTATTTTTATAGTCTTTATTTTATTTATTTGCTGCTGTTTTTCTAACGGGTGTACTGTCTGTCTCTTATACACATCTAGATGTGTATAAGAGACAGGGCCCAGAGGCTGAGCTCCTAAAAACGTTTGGACCTTTTCTTTTGTTTTCGAACAGATTTTGACCTGTTCGAACCCAGGCCGGCGTTGAGGCCGGGTACGTCCACACAGGACCGGTTTGAAGCCAGGTACCAGGAAGATTAATCCTGGACAGGGCCTGGACGTCCGGTAGGGACCCAGGCAGGCCGTTTTAGGCCAAGGACTGAACCAGTTTTCGAAGCCTGCGATCTGGACCGTGGATCGGAGTTTCGATCTGCACGGTCCAGAACGCAGGCCGTGGGTTTTCAGTCCTGGCCCAGCACTACTTAAGCTGGGCCATTGCCCAGTTCGGACACAGAAGGTACCAGGAGAAATCCAGCGTTATGCTGGTTCAGGAACTTGGCTGATGCGCTATTTTGGAGACTCCCTGCTGCGCCATTTCGAGACTGCAGCTGCGCTGCTCATCGACCATGAGGCACAGCGCTGGAGGAGTCCAGCGCCGAGGAGGGTAGTGGAGTGAGAGAGAGAGAGAGAGAGAGAGAAGAGGACTTACCTGCCCAGCGCCATAGCTGGCTCCGCGGTACCTGCAAGTTCAGCCATCGCCAGGTAAGTGCAGAAAGCACCCAGCTTTCTTCTTCTTCTTCTTCTTCTTCTTCTTCTTCTTCTTCTTCTTCTTCTTCCTCTTCTTCTTCTCCTCTCCTCTTCTCCTCCTACTCCGAAGTTCTTCTTCTTCTTCTTCTTCTTCTTCTTTATCAGAGTAGAGATAGAGGTAAGTGCAGACATTGTTTGGACACGGCCTTCTGCCTTATTGGACACGACATTCAGATCGGACTTACACTCTACATTGGGATTGAACTGTGTGCGACATTCGGAGATCAGACTTGGGTTGGACTTGGCTACCTCTATGTCCCTCCCCCTTCTCTCTCGCATGTCTATGGATCTCTCCCCATGTGTGTGAGCGGAAGGGCAATCTTTCTGGTGTCTTGCCCTTCCAAAGTTTCTCCCTTTCATGTTTTTGTCCACGTGTCCTTTGATACTAGATCTTCCGCTGCGCTGCTTCCCAGYCTATGATGATGATGATACGAATGTGTTGTTATTGATTTCCCGTTGTTTCACTCTTTGCGTCGCGCACATTGACACCTTGTGAATGTTGCACCTATGCTGCTGGTTGTTGCCACTTTCGTCATTGCTAGATCCTAGGCTTTCGGTGCATTTCACTTTCTGATATGCTACACTCTCTCTCTCTCTCTCTCTCTCTCTCTCTCTCTCTCTGTGTGGATCGGTTCGGGGACTGTGCGACCAGGATTCTCTCTCAGAGCACATAACATCTTAAAAAACAGAAGAAACCAAAAACAATCGATATCTGTGAAGCGAAGGGAGAAGCGAAGGGAGGTAGAAAAGTTGGAAAAAAAAAAAGCAGAGCTAAAAGGTCCCATGCGAACAGCAACGACGTCGCATCTCGCTCTGTCTCTCTCTCTCTCTCTATCTATCTATCTGTCTCTCTCTCTCTCTCTCTCTCTCTCTCTCTCTCTCTCTTTCTCTGACACCGTACACATGCCCAAAAACGAAGTAGTCCACCGAGGCCAAGGTAGGTAGCGTGTCTCTCTCTCTCTCTCTCTCTCTCTCTCTCTCTCTCTCTCTCTCTCTCTCTCTCTGTTAAGGGAGGTAGAAAAGTCGGGGGAAAAAAAAAAGCAGAGCAAAAAGATCCCATGCGAACAGCAACGACGTCGCATCTCCCTCTCTCTCTCTCTCTCTCTCTCTCTCTCTCTCTCTCTCTTCCGAAGTTCCGACACCGTACACGTGCCCAAAAACGAAGTAGTCCACCGAGGCCCGGGTTGGTAGCGTGGCTCTCTCTCTCTCTCTCCCTCTCTTTCTCTCTCTCTCTCTCTATTCCGAAGTTCCGACACCGTGCACGTGCCCAAAAACGTAGTCCACCGAGGCATGGGTAGGTAGCGTGGCTCTCTCTCTCTCTCTCTGTGGATCGGCTCGGGGACTATGCGACCAGGATTCTCTCTCTCTCTCTCTCTCTCTCTCTCTCTTTCTCTCTCTCTTTCTCTGTCTCTCTCTCTGTTTCTCTCTCCCCCCTGTTTGTTTGTTTGTTTGTGTTCATGATACGATACTCTCTCGTGCTCGCAAAAAAACGGGAAAAAAACAAATGGGAAAGAGAGAGAGAATCACAAAGACACATACCTGGCCCTTTACGTGCCGTGCCCAAAAACGATGTAGTCCACCGAGGCCCGGGTAGGTAGCGTGGCTCTCTCTCTCTCTCTCTCTGTGGATCGGCTCGGGGACTACGCGACCAGGATTCTCTCTATCTCTCTCTCTGTTTCTCTCTCCCCCCTGTTTGTTTGTTTGTTTGTTTGTGTTCATGATACGATACTCTCTCGTGCTCGCAAAAAACGGGAAAAAAACAAATGGGAAAGAGAGAGAGAGAAATACAAAGACACATACCTGGCCCTTTACGTGCCTTTGTGTGCATGCATCAAGGCATGCCGCGTGCAAGTCGCCAAGCCCTGCAGAGGCTGCACTCGGTGAACGACTCACAGGGAAAAAAAAAGGGGGCGCTGTATCCTCCCGCGCTTGCGCTGCGAATTTGGATCCGCCACAGAAAAAAAAAAAGCGGGCGCTGTATCTTCCTAACCTTGCGATGCGGATTCCGATCCGCCAAAACCCACCTCACGGACTGGCACCGGTTCCCGAAAAACACCGGTTCCCAAAAAATTGAAGTCGCGGGGTCACACCGGTTGGGAAAAGCGGAAGTCGCGGACTCACACCGGTTCCCCCTTGCCCACTGGTCGGGAGCGGTCCTGCGTGGTGGCGCCCGGTTTCTGTTGGGTCCGTCCGATCCGCCAAAACCCCCCTCACGGACTGACACCGGTTCCCGGAAAACACCGGTTCCCAAAAAATTGAAGTCGCGGGCTCACACCGGTTGGGAAAAGCTGAAGTCGCGGACTCACACCGGTTCCCCCTTGCCCACTGGCCGGGAGCGGTCCCGCGTGGCGGCGCCCGGTTTCTGTTGGGTCCGTCACGTGAGACCCGCTTCTTGGTTTATAGTATTTAGAGAAGAGAAAACGTTTTGTCATCCTACATCTTAAAAAAAAAAAAAGATGTAGGATGGCAAAACATTTTTTGACTAAAAGTTTTGTGCTCCCAGCTGTTTCCGGTGGTTGGATTTTCAAAACGGTGAGGAGAGCAATGGCTTGAGCGTATGAACTCTGTTCTCTCTCTGGTGGTCATCTTCAATGCGCCTTTTTTCGGTGTTGCTCAATACCGTTAGTATGGCCCCGGATAGCACTTCAGTGGCCTGCACTTCACAGACTTCAAACCAAGCATTAGTCCCCTCCCTGGGGCGTACAAATGCACCTGTAGTACAAGGCCACCATTCTGTTGTGGGAACATTGCCCTGGATCAACTTCCTATCCTCAGCGTTAAGGTCTGCAGGAATTGGGGTGTTAATGTCTTTGGGAAATGTTCGAGGATTGGCACTTCTCTTTAGGATTTGGCTTGTGAGGTCGTAAACTAAGGCGTGCAAAAAGGAAAACAGAAGGCATGGGAAAGTTGTGAGAATTTTTTTTATGCACTACCTCCAGCATTGCACTACTTTCCAGGTCAGTGACTTGGGTTGAAGAAAAGGCCTGTGGGGAGCTTCAGACTGTAGGAAATTTGCTAATGTTATCGATAACTGGACTTCCTGAAACAAGTTGCATAACGGACCCCTCAGAAATTCTTTCCGGTTTGATGAAGTCGGGTCAGGAGGTTATGGGTGTGTAAGAGTGTGGGAGTTTGTTGATTGGTGGTGCACAGTTGTGGTGCTTTGTTATGAATGGAGCTGGGTGCCTCATCGGTTGTGAAGAGCTAAACCACTTGTGACTTGGATATGCAGAAGAAGTGATCGCAGAAATGTGTACAAGTGGATGTGATGGTGAATGCAGTATCTGATGATTGCAAATATGACACTAGAAACAGTACTTCTGAGCAGGTATAAGCTGAATATCTAACATGACTTTGTGGTTGTTCCCTTGGAGTTGTGTAGGCTGATTGCAAAACTCTCCGCTTCAAGGATATGGTGCTCAAGAAAGGTGGCCTCTGGCGTGACATTTATGGACTTGATGAGAAGAAGGTTGCTGCAGCTGTTCGTGAGGACAAGGTTGACATACTTGTGGAGCTAACTGGTCATACTGCCAATAATAGGTTGGGCGTAATGGCTTGTCGTCCAGCTCCTGTCCAGGTATGTAATATGTCTGTCCACCTTCGTTTTCTTCACGTCTGCTCCTCACGTTCACTGTGCTTTCCATCCTGCATTCTCACACGAGCTTTACAGGTCAAAGTGATGTCTGTGGTGTGTTTCTGCGAGGTGCTGTAGAAAAAGGAGTGGAAAAAGGGGAGAAAAAGGAAGGAAAGCTCTGTGAAAGGTGGTGCATTGGATGGATGATTGTACATGGAGGGTTCCTTCTTTGTGTTTCGTAAAACCAGAGGCCCAGAGCAGGAAAATAAATAACAGCCATAAGTGATGGGACCGTGGCCTCGGACATAAAACACATGGTGCAAGGTACTGAGATGGAAGACTTGTTCCGTTGGCTTGTGATGACAGGTGACCTGGATTGGATACCCGAACACGACTGGACTCTCGACAATTGACTACCGTCTCACTGATTCATTCGCAGATCCTCCCACCACCAAACAGAAGTGAGTGTTCCTCCACTCTGTGTTTCTGTGTGTGTGTGTGCGTGTGTGTGTGTGGGTGAGAGAGAGAGAGAGAGAGAGAGAGAGAGAGAGAGAGAGAGAGAGAGAAGGGTGCTCTACTTTCTCACTCTGTCTCTTCAGATAGCAACGAAGAGTCTGTTCCGGTCTCACATGTGATTAATCCGGATTACATTGTTCTTGAATTGTCATCGCTGTACTTCGGGTGCAGAGAGCAATAACTACAAGTCTCTCTCTTCGTAAGAGCTCACAAACAACCTCCTGATGAGTGGGCGGAAATCCCAGGAGATAGCCTGGCACAATCATGCTCTTTTTGTCCCAGGGATACTGCTGGTGCACTAGGAGGCCATGCCTGTTTTCCCTGCTGGTGTGGTTCCAAGTAGTTCTCCCCTGGTGATTGCTGACTGGAATTAGAATCATAGCAGACAGCAGTGTATTTTATATGGGCAGTAAACACGGGGCAGAACATGGAGAGAGGGTAGTGTGTACTCAATCACTGCTGTTTCCTGTGCTATTTGTCTGTTTTCATTTTTTGCATTCGGTGAAGGCTAAGGGCTGTAGTGTGTATGTTGTATTCCTGCAGGCATGTGGAAGAGCTGGTGCGACTGCCAAAAT